CTTGTTGGACCGAAGGGCCTGTTTCCACACTGTAGGGATTCTATGAAACCTGAGGCATCAAATTTTGTAAGGTCAGGAGCATGCATATTCACTGCTATGTTATAAAAATTTCTTCAGAAGTGTTTTCACCTATTTTGTGAAGTCTGTTCATTGTCCCTTTGCAGATCATTGGTTATACTGTTCCATGTGATAGGACTCTAATTTGAATGTGCTAATGAAACCTCTACATTTTTTCTGAAGGCAGAGAGTCACCTATTTTAAAGCCTTCACCAAAATTATATGTTTACAGACATTGACAGTTTTGTTTTGCCTCAACTCCATTTAAATCCAGCAGGGAAAGGGACTAGAATGCATGTGGATGAAAACCAACCCCCATATCATATTTCAAGAAAAATAATTTTTACATATTTAATTATAACAGGCTGGATTTTCCAAACATTTGGAAGTGGTGGTGGATATTGGGACAGGAAAATGTGGAGAGCCAACTTGGGACAATTTCTCAACACATCTCTGTTTCCAAGGGCATTCTGAGGGGTGCACTATGAACTAGGTTGGCTGCCTGTTTGCCACAATGTTGGGCAGCCAATGAGAGCATACCCACTTGCCTGCCTTCCCCTCTCTTCGAGTAGTGCTGCCAATCTGATATTGCTGCAGGATCTTTGATTGAGCTGGCACGTTTGGGAGCACACCCATCATCCTTAATAGGACCTCAAGTACAGAGATGGCCAATTAGGGACTGCCTCCAACTGTTGCACCACTGGGCACACTAATGACATGTGAGAGGTTGGGATTCCCATGTGGGTCCTAGCAACCACCAGAAAATCAAGCTCAATTTCACAAACAAGACCCAATTTAGAAATAAGTTCAAGGCCTCATTCTGCATAAATTGTGGCTCACCAGGAGACTCTCCAGTTCTTAGGATCTACCATAGGCATATTGAAAATTCCTAATCAAACTATCACGTTTCATTCGGAACACACCAGAGCTGTTAAGTCCTGGGATGAGACTTGAACCCAGACCTTCTGGATCAGATATTGGGAAACCACAATTGTGCCGCAATACCTCCATCTTTACTCCAACCGTTCCAAATTCTGCATGTTATTTTGTTCCTGGTTTATAGCCATTTGCAACAGCTACCTATTTGATTTTAATTAATGTTTTAAAATTCTAATATATAGTAAGTGGCTGTGAAAGACAATTTAAGTCCCAGTTGAGCCAATGAGTTATTTGGGTCATCGTTCATTACTTATCAGGTTAGTTCACTTATGGACTACAAATCAAACTACTCTTGATCTTTTCCAAACAGCCAATGTCAACTTCATTGAAAATCTATTGTATCTCAATCTTGTCCACAATATTTCCAATTCCAGTTGTTAAAGAAAAAAGCATTTTGAAAGCTTCATGATTCCAAATGGTTCCTTCTGCAAGAGAATACTCTTTGGGTAATCATTTGCATTTTGTAGTCTGTGACAAAGCAAATGCTTTCTAAAGAAGCTGTCCACGAGGATCTAGCAATCTTTGCAGCATAGATTTCACCTTTCCAACTTGCACCTGATGCCAAAGCAAAGAAGAGTTCCAAGCATCAGAAAGCCAAAGAAAAAAATCCAAAATCAGTATCTCCATCAAGCAGAGTAAACAACCCGAAGAAATCTTACAGATAGTAAAGCAGCAAACAAAATACTTAATCTTTATATATTTTATTATTTTGCTATCTGTAAAACTGAAGGTTGCAACATAAACTGTAAAAGCTGAAATAGCAAAAACAAGCTTTTGGTTAATAAGGTATTTTTAAAAAGAGTGAAAGAAACAGGGTTATAGTACAGGGGATTTCAATTCTGCTAACATTAAAAGAGATCACATTCATGTTAAAGAATTAGACAGAGTGGAATTTTTAAAGTGCATCCAGGAGAGTTGCTTGTGCCAGTACATATAATAGTCATACTAGAGATAGGACAGTCCTCGTCCTAATCCTGGGGGAATGAAGCCGATCAAGTAGTAGACGTATCAGTGGGTGAATATTTTGGGGATAGTGACCATAACTTTATAAGTTAGGTACCTAAATTGTGGGAAGGTTAATTTCAATATCATTAGAAAGGATCTGGCAAACACAGACTGGGAGCAGATACTTATAATAAGTCTACAAATGAAAAGTGGGAATCTTTTAAAAAGTGGCATAGTGAGAGTGCAGGGCCAGCACATTTCTCAATGAGGGAAAAGCAAGGGCAGCAAGCCCAAGGAACTCTAGATTGAAACGGATATCAAGGGCTTGATAAAGAGAAAGAAGGAAGCATTGTCAGGTATGCAGCACTAAAAATAGGGGAGGTACTTCAGGTTTATAGAGTGTAAAGGTGTGCTTAAAAAAAAATTAGGAGGGCGAAGAGGTGCCACAAAATATCTTAGGCTTAAAGAAAAGCCCAAGGCATTTTAAGTATATTAAGAAGAAGAGGATAACCATGAGTAAGTGGGGCCTATTAGAGACCAAAGGGTTAATCTGTGTAAGGAGCCAGAGGATACAGGTGAGTGTTTAAATTAATATTCCTCATCTGTATTCACAAAGGAGAAAGGTATTGTAGCCGGTGAGGTTCTACAGCATGAAGATCAATAAGGAGGAGATATTTGATGTTTTAGCTGACATAAATCCCCAGAGCCTGATGAGATGTATGCCAGGCTGCTATGGGAAGCAAGGGAGGAGATTGCTAGCACCCTGGCAAAATATTTAATACTTTGCTGGCCACGGGTAACATGTCAACTGACTGGAGGATAGCTTATGTGGTTCCTTGTTCAAGAACGGCACAAGAGATAGGCCAGATAATTACAGACCAGTTAATCTGACAACAGCGGTAGGGAAAGTACCGGAAAAAATTCTGAGGGACAGGATTAATCAACACTTGCAAAGGTAGGGATTGATCAGGGATAGTCAGCACAGATTTGCTGCAGGGAGAAAAAAAACAAAGTTGCTGGAAAAGCTCAGCAGGTCTGGCATTATCTGTGGAGGAGAAAACAGAGTTAACGTTTCGGGTCCGGTGACCCTTCCTCAGAACTGATGGTGGCTGGGAAAACGTCAGTTTATATGCAGAAAATAGGGAGGTGGGTGGGGTAGGGAGTCATATAATGTCATATAAACTGACATTTTCCCAGCCACCATCAGTTCTGAGGAAGGGTCACCGGACCCGAAACGTTAACTCTGTTTTCTCCTCCACAGATAATGCCAGACCTGCTGAGCTTTTCCAGCAACTTTGTTTTTGTTCCTGATTGACAGCATCCGCAGTTCTTTTGGTTTTTATTTGCTACAGGGAGATCCTGTCTAATTTGATTGAGATACTTTTCTAAAAAAATTAACTAAATATGAGGATCGTGATGATGTAGTTTACATGGACTTCAGCAAGGCCTTTGACATGGTCTCACATGGAAGGTTGGTCCAAAATGGGATAACATGTTGGCAAACTAGATCCAAAATGAGCTTGAAAATGGGAGGCAAAGGGTGTTGGGTTGGAAGCCTGTGACCAACAATGTACCACAAGGAACAGTGCTGGGATCCTTGCTGTTTGTGATGTACATTAACAATTTTAAGATGAATGTAGAAGGCATAGTTGGTAAGTTTGCACATGACACAAAAATTGATGGTGTTGTTACCAGTGAAGAGAATGGTCTCAGGCTACAATCCGATATTGATCTGGTGGTAAATTGGACACAGCAATGGAATATGGAATTTAATTCTGATTAGTATGAAGTGATGCATTTTGGGAGATTTAATAAGGGAATGATTTACATTATGAATGAAAAGTCCCGAGGAAGCACTGAGGACCAGAGACCTTGGTGTATAATATCATAGATCCCTGAAGGTGTTAGCAGAAGTAGATAGGGTGGTGAAGAAGGGATACATGATGCTTGCCTTCATAAGCCGAGGTATAGAACACAGGAACAGGGAAGTCTTGTTGCAACTTTATAAAACAACAGTTAGGCCACAGACAGAATACTGTGCGCAGTTCTGGCCGCCACACTATTGGAAGGGCATGATTGCAGCGGGGATAGTGTGCAGGAGATTCGCCAGGATGTTGCCTGGGATGGAAAGTCTCAGTTATAAGGTCAGACTGGACAGGCTAGGTGTGTTTTGCATGGAGCAGAGGAGGCTGAGGGGGTCCTGATTGAGTCATACAAAAATATGATGAGCATAGACAGGGTAGATTGTGAGAATCCTTTTCCCGTGGCAGATGTGTCTAAGACCAGAGGCCAAAAGCTTAAGGTGAAGAATAAGTGGTTTAGAGGGGATCTGAGGAAAGAAAGAATTTCACCCAGCGAGTCATAGAAGTATGGAAGGTGCTGCCTTTGAGGGTAACCGAGGCAGGTACTTTCACAACATTTAAGAAGCACTTGGATGAGCACTTAAAATGCAAGGGCATTGCAGGCTGCAGAAAAAATGCACGTAACCAGGATTAATATAGTTTGATGTTAATTGGCCAGCATAGACAGAGTGGGCCATAGGGTCTGTTTCTATGCTGTATGACTCTATAACTCTAATTGATGTAATTTTTAATCACAAATAAAATAATGTAATATGGCACAAACATATAATTAGATTTACATCACCAGAGAAGCCATTCAGAAATAATTAGTGTACCATTAAAATTCCAGCTCCAGTTCGTTAACAAGTTATAACATTTCTGAGGAGGGTGAAGGTTTAACAAATATTACAACATTAAAGAGTAAGTTATCATCAATTCGGTGATTTCAGAAGCTTTGTGTCCATATAGGCTTCAATGGGGTCTATTATGCAGCCATACTGTATAGGGAATTACTGGCAATAATGATTGGGTTTCCTCATACAACTGTACATATATGAATGGAAGAAGTTGCTACCAGTTTAGGAGGGTATGGGAACAGGAACAGGAATAGTGTCTCTGAATTACAATTGCAAAATCTAGGTATCATCATATTTAAATATTATTCCACAAATCTGCTGAAGGTAAAGAAAAAGTTTTGATGGTATTTTAGTTGCTTACCTCGAAGAGGTCAGAGGATTCATTCCCATATTGGTTGGAAATTATTCCAGATTGGTCACTGTACCACTTGAGTCCACCCAGAAAAGTTTCTGTGTCCAAATCATTTACATCAAGCTCAGAAAGGTCAAGTTCAGGGAGATCTGAACACAGTGGCTGGTCTTCACCAACTAATGCAGCATACTACAAGAAAACAAAGCAAAGGCATGCTTTAAAATACTTGACATTGCTGTTCTAGCTAATAAACATTGCAACTTGCTGCAGTATAATGGTAACTTCATTAAAAAATTTCAATGTCTTGACAATGCGGTTTTAGTAAATGCTACTATGTAGATTACTATTAACAAGAGTGCAGGAGTAATGCAAATTAACTTCCCTTCGACTTGCCCTGCTGCACTCTGTATGTAATTACCTCATTTGCAACTGGCAACTTCCTTTCAAATTTATACAATAAAGAATTGATTCAAAATATGCACTGCTTTCAAATTTTTGCCATCTTAATGTTTAAAGCTATTCTGTTTTCAGTGCAAAATGTCTTTGATAACAGGGAAGATGAAAGAGAAAACAAAAGCCAATGACTGCCAGCAGAGAGATTAGTTAACCTCATGTCCACCCGGGAGCAAAGCAGGTTTGACAACACTTGACTCTACAGAGCTTCCCAAGTGATTAAACATACTGTAATTGGAGTTAAAAAAGAAGTTTGAAGCAAAAAAACATTGTAAATCAATTTTGACTGCAAACATTAATAAAATATTTTGATGCAGCTCTATACAATTCAGTGGTGTTGAAAATCCTTTGCTATCTGTACATGATGCAATAGGAGATCAACAAATTTAAGCTCCAGGTCTGCATTGCCAATATCCAAGAATCGATCCAGAGATGAGGTGAGTCTCTGAAAACTTAAAAGCAAAATATCTCAAGCATGTGTTGGATTTTGACAGCTGAGTGAATGTCAGATTATTAGCGTAAATGGGCTTTTAAATAGCTTTCAATGATTCAGGAATTAACAAGTGAGGAAATTGTGAAGAAAACTGCAGCTTACCAGTCCATGCATATCTCATTGCTAGGTCCACACAGTTGCACTGAGCAGCTGATTTGGGTGGTTTTTTTTTTATTAGCTCAACTTCACTTATTAGGTAAGATAATCAAACTTTATTGTCCTGCTCATAAAGCAATTGGCAAATTTTACAGTGTTAATTGTCTCATAAATCTGTGTTCAGTTAAAAAAAACCTATATTCTCATAATCGTAACTACCATAAAGATAGATAACCATCTTAATCATGTTGGATGATTTCTCACAATGTTGTAAAAATAACTCTGTATATTTGCTGATAATGCTCATGCAAATTGTGAATTTTGTTTTATGGCTTGAAACCACTAGATTGATGCAACCTCAGAAAACCAATTTGTGCAGAACTTCTCGATATGAAACCATATACCTCCATTCTGTGACATCATGGACAGAGAATGCTGCCCACAATTCACTGCTTCCCATTCATAAATAATGCCATTAGAACACAACTTTAAGATATCACAACAAGGGGGAGGTCTACACAATACATATGTTCTCAAGAAACTACTATCCAACACAAAACAGGAAAACAAAGGACAACTGAATGACTCAAGTACACAGGTATGTCTTGCAATAACCTTTACAATTATCAGGCAATTTTATTTACTTTTAACTGATCTCTTTCTAACTTCAAATTAAATATAATAGGATAGATTTTAAAATGCAGATCAAAGCATGAACAAGGTATTTAATCATTTAACACTTTTACCTTTGCACTCCAATGAGCTTTAGTAGACAAACGAAAAATTATTTTTCAGAAAGATCCTTAATTGCTACAATAACAAAATGATAAAATAGTACAGAATCCACTATACTGTAAATTTGCACTTAATAATTATTTCCCCATTACTTATTGTCCTGAGAGAAACAGGATTTATTGGTGAGATGGCAAAATACTCTTCACTCTCTCGAATTTAATTCTTTACTCAACTCTCGTTCACTCATAAAACTAATGCATGACTGAAGAAAACAGATTTACAAATACTGAAACACATTCTTTGCCATAGCCACTCAACTGCTTATAAATGAACAGGGGCATCAAGAGGTCAGCAGATATTCCCAGTGCCTATGCAAACTGGAATGCAAGATTTATGTACTGTATGGGGTTGGTGAACAATCTATATAAAGCATGCAATGGTGCAAATGCAATTCATGCACATGAAAGAGTAGACAAAGACTTACTGCAACATTCTGAAAAATATTGGAATAGAATACAAAAAGCAAATAAAAACACATGAACAATTACACAGCTTTTGGCACAGGAAAGATTATAGGTTTTCTCGCAATTGTTTCTCAAGATTATCACAAGGTTAGCTGGAATCATCTTGGCATGTGTGCACTTTCTGAATGTGAACATAAATACATAAATTCCCCTTACAGAGCAAAATGTACTGTGGGTACATCCGAAGGAACAGCCGTGAACCTTTCTGCCTTTTTTTAATGAAATGTTCCCTTGCAGGTGATATAGCTTTAACATATCAGTGCCTATTTTTATATTACAAGCAGCGGCCTTTCTATACAAACATCCTAAAGCGGTTGAACTCCTACAGTGGATGACTTAGATTTAAATTTAATCCTTAAAAATAATTATTCTAAACTAAGACTATTGTGAAAAGACATGAGTTTGGATTATTAAAACCTTAGAAAACACAAAAACAATAAATACAAAGCTTTGGTTCATACATTGTGTTGTTATCTAATTCACTTTAACAATTTTGTTCATGGCAAAGTGCCAAATTGATTACCAAATGACAGTGAAACTTCAAGTTAAATCTGAACCTTATGACATAAGTTGTTTCGTAAATGAGAATTGCAGTAAAAAAATGTCAGTATCACCTTTAATAGCATTGAAATCACAGATGTGTGGCTGTTTTCCAAATGAAGGAGACAGATAAAATCCAAGATAAAATTTCTGCCAGCTTAACATACTACAAGGTTATACTACACAAAACTTTTTAGGCAAGTTTTAAAAGAGGATCAGTGAAGCTAGTTCCTCTCACAGAAGACAATGAAAACAGCTTGCCTGTAACATTGTCTCATTCATTTACTGGTAAAAAGAAGTTCAAAGCACTAGAGGTTTAGGTGAATACTCTTTTAAGTAACATTCTTTATGTAGTTAGACATAAGTTCGTTTCTACTCACTACTGATGTAAAGATCACTGAATTATACTGCAGCTCACCTCTGTTTCAGTCCACTCAAAGTCTTGGTTGCACCTGTCCCACTCCATTCAGTTTATTGCTTAAATCTCAATAAATCCACAGCAGGCACACATGTGAGGTACTGGCCCTTTACAGAAATTAAACTGAAGGCACCTGTCTTACTACTACACTAACGCTACTGTTCAGTGTCACATGACAAGGTTATTAAAAGGAGCTAGTGCTGTCCGTCAGAGGTACTATTCCATGATAAAACCAATGACGTATCAGAGGGCGGAGCTACTGCTAAGTACAGTAAATCTTTAAACTACTCAACCTTTGAATCTTTAGTCCCGTGCTATGATTAAATTCTACTTTATAAACTACACCTTCATAAGAATTCTGCCAACCAAAAAAATTAAATGATAAAGGCTTTTTTTTATCTTGTTGGAAGTCTTACATGATATGAGGTTAATACTGCTTCACAGTCTTAAATTATTTTCTTTATTTCTGTAGAAATCAAACATCTTTAAAACATTTGCAAAGATTACACAATTTAAAACTCAAAATCATTTTCTTCCACTTCATTTTCTGAATTATAAACCATACACATGTTGAAGTTCCAAGGAACTGAAATGCATACTATCATTACAATAAATAAAATGTTTCAAACTTTTCCACATTGAATGAAGGAACAAAAATGAATTTTCAGCAAGGTTTGATTAATTGAAAATTACCTAAGCCTATATTTTAGCAATAACCTACATGCATAGAAACAATACAACAATATCATCTGTGTTGAAAGTCAAAACAGTAAGGTGCAGAATTACATTATGATTTTGTGAAATTGGTGTGGATTTCAAACATAAACAAGATCTGACTTTAATCAATGTACAAAAAGCATACTTGCTTTTGTATAAAATATTTGATTCTTGTAAGAAGGGATGTTAACTTCTGCATCACACATGGCAGAAATCTGCCTTAGGGTATGGACCATGATATTGGGTCATAACCTTGAAATGTATGGCGAAGAGTCACCTGTCAGTGACTTTCCCCTAACTGGCCAATTATTGACCAGAGGGCAAGCTTGGCATCCAATTAAGGATGGCAAGCCAAAGACATCCCATTCCTTAATATGTCCAAAGCTGATTCAACAATTCTGAACTGGATTGTTCCAGTCAGCCTTGAATAATAGGCCTCAATAGCCTTTAACTAACAAGGCTTAAATATCTGCAAAATGTCAGCCAGAAGTGTAAGTGGATGACCCAGCTTAGTCTTCTCCAGAGGTCCCCATACCAGGCTTCAGCCAATTTGATTAACTTCATGTTATGTCAAGAAACAACAGCTGCGAACACTGAATACTGCAAAGGCTATGGCCTTGACAACATCCCAGCTTCAGCAATGAAGATTCAGGCTCTGGAATCACTTGTACCTTTGACCAGACTTTTTTTCCAATAAAGTAAAATATTGGCATCTACCAGACAATGTGGAAAATTACCCAGGTATCTCTTATCCATAAAATGCATGATAAATCCAATCCAGCCAATTAGCACTGCATCAAGCTATTCTCAATGTTTCAGGCCCAGTGACCCTTCCTCAGAACTGATAGTGGCTGGGAAAACATCAGTTTATATGCAGAAAATAGGGAGGTGGGTGGGATAGGGAGTAAACGATAGGATAGAGCCCGAAGAGAGAGAAAGACAGTTGGACAGACAAAGAAATTGCTAACGATCAGGCTGGGAGGGTGAATAGTTGTTAATGGGGACTGTTCGTGACTAACAACAGGGGGTGTGTAATGGCAGGCTATATGGTAACAAAGCCTGGGGTGTGGGGTGTGGGGTGTGGGAGAGTTTAGGCCCTAAAATTATTGAACTCAATACTGAGTCCGGAGGGCTGTAGGGTCCCCAAGCAGAAAATGAGGTGTAGTTCCTCCAGCTTGCGTTGGGCTTCACTGGAACACTGTAGCAAGCCAGAGACAGAGATATTGGCTAGGGAGCAGGGTGGTGCATTGAAGTGGCAGGAAACGGGTAGTTCAGGGTCTTTTTTGTGAGTAGAACGTAGATGTTCTGCAAAGCGGTCGCCAAGTCTACGCTTCGTTTCTCCAATGTAGAGGAGACCACATTGTGAGCAGCGAATGCAGCAGACTAGATTCTGGGAAGTGCAGGTGAAGTGTTGCTTCACCTGGAAGGTTTGTTTGGGCCCTTGGATACTGGGGAGGGACGAGGTAAATGGGCAGGTGTTGCACCTTCACCGGTTACAGGGGAAGGTGCCGTAGGGCTGTGGGGAGGTATTGGGGGTAAAGGAAGTGTGGACCAGGGTGTCCCGGAGGGAACGGTCTCTGCGGAAGGTGGACAAGGGAGGGGAGGGGAATATGTGTCTGGTGGTGGCATCTTGCTGGAGGTGGCGGAAATGGCATCTGATGATCTTCTGGATGTGGATGCTGGTGGGATGGTAGGTAAGGATAAAGGGAACCCTGTCGCTGTTGTGGGAGGGAAGAGAAGGGGTGAGGGCGGAAGTGTGGGAGATGGGTCGGACCTGGTTGAGGGCCCTGTCGACAACGGAGCTGGGGAAACCTCGGTTGAGGAAGAAGGTGGACATTTTGGAGGCTCCCTTGTCAAAGTTGGCCTCATCTGAACATATGCGGCGGAGACGCATTAACAACTATTCACCCTCCCAGCCTGATCGTTAGCAACTCCTTTGTCTGTCCAACTGTCTTTCTCTCTCTTCGGGCTCTATCCTATCGTTTACTCCCTACCCCACCCACCTCCCTATTTTCTGCATATAAACTGACGTTTTCCCAGCCACTATCAGTTCTGAGGAAGGGTCACCAGACCCAAAATGTTAACTCCGTTTTCTCCTTCACAGATGCTGCCAGACCTGCTGAGCTTTTCCAGCAACTTTGTTTTTGTTCCTGATTTACAGCATCCGCAGTTCTTCTGGTTTTTATTCAGCTATTCCCAATTATCAGCAACATTATAGAAGGTTTAAAACACTATCAAGTGGCACTTACACGGTAGATAACCTGCTCACTGACTGTTTGGGTTTCACCAGGGCCACTTGGCTGCAGACCGGATTACAGCCTTTGTCCAAACATGGAACAAAAAAACGAGATTCAATAGGTGAGGTGAAAGTGACTGCCCTTATAATTAAGGAAGCAAGTGCAAGGAGACAGTGGCAAAGTGGCAATGTCACTGCACTAGTAATCCAGAGGCTCAGGCTATTGCTTTGGCATGTGTTTTCAAACTCCACTACCATAACTAGTGGAATTTAAATTCAATTTATAAAATATGGAATTGAAAGCTACTATGATTAATGAAAACCATGGTAACTACCATTGATTGTCACATAAACCCATCCGGTTCACTAATGTCCTTTAGGGAAGGAAATCTGCCATTAGTCTGTTCAACTTGCAATTTCAGGGACACAGCAATATGGTTGACTCTTGACTGCCCTCTGAAAAGGCCTAGCAAGCCACTTAGTTCATGGGTAACTAGGAATGGGCAACAAATGTCAGCCTTGCCAATGAAACCTAAATTACATTAAAGAATAAAATAAAATGTGATCAATCAACAGCAAGGAGCTTAAACAAAACTAAAGTCAATGGGGATCAAAGAACAACTGTCCAATAGTCGGCACCATATCTAGCATAAATTAAGACATTTGTGGTTATTGGAGTCCTGATTACTGTAGTGCCAGGACATCACTGCAAGAATTTCTCAAGGTGATGTCCTGGGCCCAACCATCTTCAACTTTTCCATCAATCATCTTCCTTCCATCCTAAAGTCAGAAGTGGAGATGTTTGTTGATGTTTGCACAATCAGTACCATATGTGACACTTCGCATACTGTAGTTCATGATCATACACAGGAAGATCTGGACAATATTCAGCTTTTTCTTCTAAATGGTAACACAAACACCAGGTAATGACCATCTCCAATAATATAGAATGTTAGGAACAAAAACAAAGTTGCTAGAAAAGCTCTGCAGGTCTGGCAGCATCTATGAAAGAGAAAACAGAGTTAACATTTTGGGTCTGGTGACCCTTCCTCAGAACACTTTCTCCCATTGATATTCAACAGCATTACCATTGCAAATCATCTACCATCAATATCCTCTGGGCTAACATTGTCCAAAAATGTAACTGGACCAACCATATAAATGCTGTGCCTATGACAGCAGGCCAGAGTCTGAGAAATCTACTGTGAGTAACTCATTCACTGTCTCTGAAAGACAGTCCAGCATTTACAAGGCACAAGAGAGTAATATGATGGAATACTCTCCACTTGCACTTCTACCAAAACTCAAAAAGCTTGAGACAAAACAGAACAAACCAGTCACTTATCAAAACTCCACTCAACAACTTAAACATTAATTCCCTCAGCTACTAGCGCACAATGGCAGAAGTGTGCATCTACAAGATGCACTGCAGCAACTTGGCAAGACTACTTTGACAGCACCTTCCAAGCTCCTAACCATTACCATCTTGAAGGACAAGGGAAGGAAGTCAATAGGAATATTATCACCTGCCAGGTCCCCCCCCAAATCCCACACTGTCCTGGCTTGGAACTGTATTGTTATTCCTTCATGGTCAGAGTCAAAATCTTGGAACTCCCTTCCTAACATTACCTTGAACGTACCTGATTTCAATTGGATTGCAATTGTTTAAGAAGGCAATTCATTATCATCTTCTTAAAGTCAATTAGGAATGAATAACAAGTGCTGACCTTTCCAACAATGCTGACATTTAATTAAAGAATATTTTAAAGCTAGCTACCAAACTGGCAGACCTACAATTGATGAGCATTTCTAAGCCTGATAGACTCCACATTCACCCCAACTGTGGATAAAAGGTTTTGCCTTTGGTTGCAAAATATGGATGCTTCCCTGCAGTCTTCAATGTATTATTTTGGCCATGTCAGCCAAGTTCTCATAGCAAAAATCATGTGGAGGCCATATGCTTCCCATGATCAAAAAATATTAGACTCGAAATTTTAGACTACATCCATTTAACAAGCATATAGCAGACACAGTCATAGCGTCACAGAACTGTACAACATAGATCCTTCAGTCCAACTCGTCCATGCCAACCAGATATCGTAAATTAATCTAGTCCCATGTGCCAGCAGTTGGCCCATGTCCCTCTAAACCCTTCCTATTCATATACCTATGCAGATGTCTTT